ACTCTGAGACTTTCTTTGTGTCAAAGGTTTGCTTTTTATTAGATGGAGCTTGGACATCACTCATAAGAGATGAGTCATTTAGGGGACAGTCAGGGGTCTTCTGGTCTTTCAGTTCATGCCCCAGCTGAAGCCATGAGAAATCCGTGGTGCAGCAGCGACCTGCAGAGTTGTGTGCCTACAACTTGTTCCCCGAGGAAAGGAAGGGCCAAATCACCACAGACACACTGTTTTAGTTAATTTGTGTCCCCTCTCAAATTCAAATATTGAGGTCCTAACCCCAGTACCTCTGAATTGGACCTCACTGGATATAGGATCATTGCAGATGTAATTAGGTAATTTCAGATGAGATCATACTGGAAAAGCTTGGACCCCTAATCCAATTTGTAGGTGCCCTCACAGAAAAAATAAATTTGGAGACACTGACAAGGGAGAATCCCATATGAGAATGGAGGCAGAATCTTCAGGCAAGGAACACCAGCGACTGCCAGCAAGCCACCAGAAGCTAGAAGAGATGCCTGGAGCAGATTCTCCTTCACAGCCCACAAGAACACTGACCCTGCGACACCGTGATCTCAGACTTTTAACCCCTGAACTGTGAGACAGTAAATCTCTATTGACAGCCCCCATGTGTCGTGCTCTGTGACAGCAGCCCTAGCAAACTAACTCAGTCCCGCTAGAACTCTGCTCTCAGGGCCTCAGCCGAACTGCTGGGCTCCTACTAGCTGCTTTGTCTCTATGATCTCAACCCCCTGGGAGGGGCCACTTGCCAGGTGCTTCCCTCCCCTGAAGTGTCCATTTTCTTCCCAGGAGCCTGTCTCAAGTCCCCAGGCAGCACAGTCTCTACTGTAAGCTAAGATCCCTGTATTCCCATGCCTGCTGCATCTGGGATCATGGTGGGGAGTGATGCACACAGTTACAGTCGTATCCTGTCCCATAACAACATTCTATGATTTCCAATGAGAGTAATGAGCATCACTGAAAATATTCTAGGTTCTACATTGCTGGGCCCTGTGTACAGCTCTCCCTCAAAAAATGAGTCTAACAAGACAAACATATGAGTCAGATATGACATGTGCTAATAGCTGACACAGGAGAACTACAACTGCTTGTGAGAAGATTCAAGAAAAGCATCTCATTTAGTCTTTATTTCATGGATGGTCTCCCTGAAAAAGAGACTTTTAAACAGAACCTTGAAGTATAACTTGTGTCAATATGGTAAGGTTTGGTACATCCGGGAGTGCTGATGAGGGGCAGGGAGCTGAGATAAACCATCAAGTGAAGAAAAGGATTTATGAGGAGGCGTGGGGTAACTTTGATGGTGGGAGCCATGGCTCCTTCAGGACTCCATTCGTGACCCAACATGGGGTGTAAAAACTACCAGGATCTCCTTCCTCAGGTCAAAGACAAAAGTCAGGCCCTGGTCACCTGTCCCTGCACTTCTCTTTCTGGCAATGGGAAGAGAGGATAGATCTGAAAAGCTGGACAGACATGCACCTGTCCCTGGATGGGGCAGATGGCAGTCACTAAAGTAGAAACTCATTGTAATTCCCCTGCATTGTCTCAGCCTGGACTCTGAGCATCTGGACATCATCAGTACCTGCGTCTCCTGAGCAGAACAAGTGGGTGTCTGAGCACACAGACCACAGGCAGGGACAGAACCTTTGTTCCTAAGTGGCCTCAATGAGCTGATGCTCCCAAGGATATACTTTGCCAAGTGTTGGCAAAGAGGAGTGGACTTCACTTCCTCAGCCTTGAACCTACAAAGTGATACACTCCAGGGGAGCTGACAACAGAACTGGGGGCAGCAGGGGAGTAGGGCCAGCCCAGGATGGTTTTGGTCTCACTTCCTCATCACTAAGAAATGGTAGGAAAGAGACCCCAGCCCCACTCTGCATGGGAACAACAGTAGTAATCAGTCTCATGGCTGGGCTGGTGGTAAGAGATACTCAGAGAGGTCCTGTTGTGAGATTCGGAGTCTGGGGTCTGTGAAGTTTGATTCATGACCCATCGTCAGTCATGTGGGGCCACGCCAGGGGCTGTTGGCAAAAAAAGACACCATGATAACCACAGATGTCATTGCTGCTTCAGCACAGGGTATGGTGACCATTTGCCAAGGGACCACACATGCCTAGAGAGGCTGAGTCAGGACAGACTGGCCCCCATTCCTGATGGGAGGAGAATATGTGTGCAAGGTTGAATGCATGGCCAAGACCACATGGATCCTAGGTGGAAAGGAGAGCAGGTACCCTGTGTTTCACAGATTTTGCCTTCCTGTGGTGACTCTCACCTGAGCTGGGAGTAGCAGGTGAGCAGGAGTGAAGCCACTAAAAGTGCAGTCCTTGGAGGACCAGCAGCACAGGATCTCCTGGGAGCTGTTTGACATATGCGTTCCTGGACCCCACCCTGACCTGCTGTAGCTGCATCTGCATCTTATGGGGACACCCAGGGAACTGTGTGCTCACTGAAGTCTCAGAAACTCTGGTCCAGGTTACCATGGAAATGCTCACTTCCTCCTGCTTGTCTCCCTAAGTCCTATCTGGGCCACCTGTGTCTTGGGGCTCAACTGTCCTGTTCTTGTCAACTGAATTTGATTCAGACCTAGACCCTGCAACAATGTGGACAAATGTTTAAGAATAGACTTTTCCACAAGCCACACAAATGGTGTGTTGGGGGCTTTACATTCCTATGAGACTTCCAGACAGCAAAAGGTTGTTCCTGCTCTTTCCTTGATCTCACTCAGCCTCCGTTTATGTGGACTTTCCTACTTTCCACACACATCATGCTCTATTGTGTCTTCTGCTTTGTATGTTTTTCTCTCTGGCTGGAACCCTTCCCATGACCTCGCTCCTCACCAACACCTAAATGCTAGTTATCCTTTCATTCTGTGTCCATATCACGTGTCTAGGAAGTGACCTCTAAACACCAGAGCATTCAGAAACACAGAAATACACACCCGTATCATTTGTCATCAATATCCTTACATTGGGTGAGGAACGTCAAAATTCTTTGCATGGAATAACACCCCCTCTCCTGTATTTGCACCTCCACTCTTACTTATTTGATGCTATGATAGGAGTAGTATCAAAAGCAGAAGGGATGTCGGCTGCATGAAAACATTGTGACTCTTGAGGGGACTGGCCTCATGGCCGAGTGCTTAAGTTTGCACACTCCGCTTCAGTGGCTCAGGGTTTTGTGAGTTTGGAGCCTCGGCATGGATCTAGTACTGCTCATCAAGCCATGATGAGGCGGTGTCCCACATGGCACACCTAGAAGGGCCTACAACTAGAATATACAAGTATGTACTTGGGGGTTTTGCTGAGAAGAAGAAGAAAAGAAAAGATCTGCAACACAGCTCAGGTGCCAATCTTAAAAAAAACATAAATCATTGTGACTGTTTAGAAGATCATGCCTTTTGTCCTTTATTCTACTAAGATAATGCCTTCCATCTCCTTATTTCCAGGTGTTAGGACAACCTGGCCTTCTTATGAGAAACACTACTGGATCATGGTATATGTTTCTTTTTTTATGTTGCTGCATTAGGTCTTCTAGTAATTTGTAGAGGATTTTTGGTTCTATATCCATAGGGTCGTAGATCTGTTGTTTTCTTTCTTTGTGATCTCTTTATCTGGTTTTGGTTCAGAGTAATTGTGGTCTCATAGAACGAAGTGGTAAGTGTACTTTCCTCTTTTTGTTTATGAAAGGACTTGTGAATAATTGATATTAATTCTTCTAAATAAATAATGGAATTCACTAGTGAAGCCATGTGTGTCTGGGTCCTTTTTTGAGGGTAGCTTTTGATTACTAATTTAATCTCTTTCCTTTTTGCAGACTTTAGCAGGTTTTCTATTTTTTCCTGAGTCTGTTTCCATAACCTGTGTCTGTCTAGGAATTCATCCATTTCATCTAATTTTGGCATGTAATTGTTCATAGTGTTACCTCACAACCTTAAAGTCCTGTTTTATTTCTGTAATGTCCGTAGTAATGGCTCCTCTTTGCTTCTCGATTTTACTAATTTTTTTAATGCTCAGTCTAGCTCATGGTTTGTCAACATTGTTGACGGTTTCAATGAACCAACTGTTAATTTTGCTGAATTTCTCTGATGTTCTTCCTGCTATCTCTTTAACTTCCATTGTAATCTTCCTTACAGTCACGTGCTGCATAGCTACATTTTGGTCAATGTGGCCTGCTTATATGATGGTGGTTCTATAAGATTAGTACTATATAGCCTAGGTGTGTAGTAGGCTATACCACCTAGGTTTGTGTGAGTTCACTCTGATAGTCACAGAGTGATGAAATGTCTAATGACACATTTCTCAGAATGTAGGCCGGCCATTACGCAGCACATAACTGTTCGTTCCTCTGCTGCTTTTGGCTCAGTTTTCTCTTTTTTTTACAATGTCTTAAGGTGGAATATTAACTTATTGATTTTCCCCATGAATGAGGCAAGTTCTCCTGAGTAGGCAACCTGATGCCTTAACTAGGATCTTTCCCCTCTGCCTGGGGAACAAGCACTATATGATTGTGTGAGTGTGAGTCCTGCTGAATGTTCCTCTAGTGTCTCTGGGTGGTTCTTTCTTCAACCTCACACAGCTTCCTCCCACCTGTGACTCATCAGACCTCTTAGGAATATGAACAGAACTCTAGGGTTCTTTCCATGCAGTTCTCTCCTCTTCCACACCCTTCCTTCTAGAATTTTATATTCTCTTTGGCTCCCTGGAAGCACATGGTGACATGCACAATTGCATGCAATAGGTTTTGGGTTGATTTTCCTGGAAGACAGAACGAGAGACAAGACTGGGCTGTCTTGCCAAGTGGTCATAAACGAGGACTCAGAAGGAAGACCCTGCAAGGTCATCCTGCACTGAGACAGGGCCTTAGTATGTTGACATTAGGCAATTATTGGACCTAAGTCACAATCGGTGTGGGGGCATAACCTGGGGGAGGCCATTCTTTGTAGATAATGGCACTTCCCAGTGAGGGCACAATGGGTCAGAGCAGGGTTCCCAGCCAGTTTGGGTGTGTTGGTCTGGACTGAAGAGGGATCTAGGTGGACACCACAGTCTCCAATACATTGGTATTCTTCATTCAGAATCCCAGGTTGCCATACATACTAGGAGCTTAAGGAACTCATAGAGGTGGTAGGTTCTGGGGAATAATCAGGACATTTGGTCAAGGAGTAGCCACTATATGCAAATTCACCATACACCACTATGTGGAAATGCAAGGAGAAATACACCAGTAGACATACATCTCCCTCTTTCTGTTCTTCCTCACAGGTCCTTGTTCCACAGCTCACATTCTGGCCCAGGAAACACCAGTATGTCCTGGTCCTGGCAGTCCTAAATCAACTCCTGATCCAGGTTCTGCAGAGCCCACCTGAAGGGCTTGGAGGAGAGGGCTGCCTGGGGATCTAAGATCTGGGGAGCAGAGCCAGACCTGCTCATGGCTTTGTTTACAGTCCTCCTGAGGTTGGAGGAGAGTGTGATGCAGACAGTGAACGGTTTGTGTCTCACCTCCCCATAAGCTTCTGTCACTGTGAGCATTACCATCATCCCACATCTGACAGTAATAGTCAGCCTTGTCTTTGGCCCAGGCCCTTCTAATGGTCAGGTTGGCTGTGTTCCCAAGGTTGGAGCCTGAGATCTGGCCAGGGATCCCTTAGGGCTTGATTCTATCACAATAGATGACTTACAGGAGCCTGTCCTGGATTCTTCTGGTACCAATAAGTACGTTTACTTCCAATATTCTTTCCCCCACAGATGATCTTTGCCTTCTGTCCTGGGGCCAGGGACACTGAGGGTGGCTGTGTCAGCTCAGAGGAGGCCACAGAACCTGTGAGAATGAAAAGGAGAGGTGGGCAGGGAGAGGAAGGACTCATTCACAGGAGATTCCCCACCTGCGTGGCCTGTGTTGAGCTCCAGGGATTCCAGGATGCCTGGTCCCATCATCCTCAGGGCCAGATGGGGTTGGCTGGTGGATGAAGGCTTTGAATCAATGAAACCCAACCCCTTTCTTGGGGCAGGTGCAGCACCTCAGGGCTCACATACAACCAGTGAGCACTGTGCAGGTATTTCAGCCCCATTAGCTAGTTCCTCATCCTGTAGCAGGTTCATGAGCATCTTGCCCACCACAGGCAGTGCCCTGCTGAGCTCAGAGTCAGGGTCAGACTTGTCCTAGGGCCCTGCAGCTTGGGATGGATGTGAGCCTGGGGGCAGCACTTGTGTCGTGAGTGAGGAGGCTGAGGACGAGAGGGGACCAGGCCATTGCGGAGGTTCTTGGATTCTGCTCCCTTAAGCCTGAGGCCAGGCAGGTTTCCTCCTAGAACTCTCTTGTCCCCATGCTGGAGAGAGCTGCTTGGTACACAAATCAGCCAGGGCTCAGGGGCTGCTGCTTGAGGAGCTTTGTGTTTTCAGAGAAGGGCTCCACCCCAAGGTACACAGAGAGGGGAGGAATGGCCCCTGAAGACCCCACACTCAGCCCAGCAGGTTCTCCTTCACCTGCTGGTCCCGCTCATTGTGGCTGACATCTCTACCCCAAAGTGAGTCTGGATTGACTCCTGGGCTGGCCTGTTAATGGCAGAGTTGGAGGTGAATCTATATTTTCTGAACCCATCATAGAATGTTAACTATAGAAGTGACCACACGAGGCTTAGGTCAGTGCAGTGTCCTGCCTGATCACAGTTTCTGAGCATCAGAACCTAAATACAGTTCCTCCTTTGTCAAGTGCACATGGAGTTTGTAGGAGCCATTGAGGTGCTGTAAGGTCTGTCACTGGGGAGATATTCTGGGACCGGTCATAGGGGCTGTGCCTCAGTATCCCCAGTATGTGCTCAGTGCCAGGTACAGATCCAATGCTGGAGAAAGGTTTGAGGGTGACAGAGTTTTAGCAGGAATGGGGTGGGCTGGAGGAGAATGAAGTACCTGCACCTGTGCAAGAGAAATAGGAAGAGCCTCCAAGAACCAGATGTGAGAAAATCAGAGTCATAATTCTTAATTCAGTGTCAAAGGTGATAGTGTAGGAAAAGAATGTTGGGTCATGGTTACTAACCCCACTGCATGGAGAGCCCAAGACTCCAAGGCCCATCTCCAGGTGGTTTTGCCACATGACTGCTGCCCCTTGTTGGCCACTCCATACAGGCTGCTAGAGGCCCAGGGATGCACTCTCTCCAGGGATAGATTCAGAACACACTGCTGAGGTCTATTCAAGTTCATTCAGATCCACTTTGGTCCGGAACACATTCCAGTCCTGGGAATTCAGGATGAGCAAGACACAGCCTCTGCTCTCAGGAGTGTCCATCATGTGAGTGAGACAGTACAGTGGACACACCAGGTTTGCAGACACAGCCGACAGTGCCCAGCACCTTCTACCTGTACACTGACTTTTATGTTTAATTGAAATCAGAGATATCACATCAACGAGAATGAAAGTAAGGCCAGAATCATGGGGATGGTGGAACAGAAAGAGAGCAAGTTCCCAGATCTCATGGCATTGGTGAGTATATAGAAAAAAATATCTTAGTTCTCAGTCATATTTGCGGGATTAAAGTCAGCTCCCAGTTGTTCATGCCTCTGTTTTTCATTGCAGTAAACATCATCTTTGTCCAATTAGGGGAATATGGAACACAAATCCACCAGTTAACAAAAACGATGAGAGGGAAAGAACCCCACAGTGGTAAGTGCTGTGCATATAATCAATACAGATCTAGGCAGAAAATGGGAGCCAGATCATTTTATAAATCAAAGGCTGGGGGAGCCCCTGAAGAAGTAACTGTGGAACTGCTCCCAGAAAGGAATGAGGAAACAAGCAACAGGAAGTGAGTGTGGGAAGAGCTGAATCAGTGCTAGTGGGGAAGAGTCAGATGTGGCCCAGGATCTGAAAGAACCATGTCCCACCTAAGGGCATCTGAGATTCAAAATGCTTCAAGTCAAGTGTAATACTTTCTTGTAAACGAAGAGTTTAAGGAGCAGGAACAATGTGTAGTCAAGTGTGGCAAACAGTAATTTCCACACAGTAAGTCAGGTTTTTGGCAGCTGAATTAACACAGATGATGCCGATAGAGCAGAGTCAGGTTTCACACGGGTGGGTTCAGACCACCCCTTGGCCCTCCCTAGCTTACTGGGGGCTGAAGATATTCAGGAGAGTGGCTCCTAATTCCTCTCCCCTCCCCAGTACCCAGAATGCAGCCAGGGTGGGGACAAGCTGCTGCATGTGCCTCTGGTCCTGAGCGAACTGCCTGTCCAATGTGGGTGACCAGTCACTGCTTTCCCTAAATTTCTACAGATTTACTGATGTGACCGGGAGCATAGAATTTGGGGAGTGCCCTTGACAGGGAATGAATGGGCTGAGAAATGCAGTGACAGTCCCCAGGTCACTTGGGGATGAAGAGAAACAATAACCTCTTCTGAGATTCTAGAAGAAGCCTGGGCCAGGAGAGGGGATCTGGGAAACTTCTCACCAAAAGTTTTGGGTCTTTGATGTAGACTCTTCATGTCACTTCTCCCAGCTCTCTGTGGGCCACTGCAGCACCTGGACCCAGGGCCCATCATGCATCTGGGAGAGCAACAAGATCTCTGCTCCCTTTGGGGCTGGTCAGAAACCCCAAGGACAACACACTCCAGATTAGAAGGAACTAGAGTGACCTTTCGTAATTTTTACCCTGGAAATTCCTTGGGATTATGGCTTAGGCTCCAGGGATCCGGTAGATAAAATATCACCTATTGACTGCTATTGAGTGGTCAGTTAGCATGACAAATTCATTGCACATTTAATAATCCAAATATACTGTCAAACCTTATGAACAGTACATGATTTTCTTTTTCGATGTCTGGTCCCCATCCCTTATATTCTACATTTGCTCTCCTGTGGGACAGGAGGATACTCAGAGAAAGCTCTGGTTTTTCTTTTCAAAAAATTCCACACCTGACACTTCTGTATTTCCAATGTGGGCATTTTCCCTGCTGAGCCTCTGACTTTCTGTGTGTAGTAGGAAATCTATGTGCCCTTTGTCCAGGTTCTCACACGTTGATTAAAATTCTCCAGGGAAATGGTGTTTTTGTGTAAAGTTCACTATGTTTGTTGGTCATCCAGAACTTTCCTCATTGCTCCTCTAAGAGTTTGGACATTGACTCTTTTGTGAGAAAAGTCATGCATTATGAGGATGTCAGTTTTTTTTCTTCACACAGGAAGGTGAGTCATATCAAGTCAATGACAGAAGAGTCGATAGCCATCCAGGTACCTACCCAGTTCCACCAAGAACCTTTTTTCAGATGAAGACCAAGACTTTGGAATAAGTGGGATGTGTAACTGTGAAGGTCAGGGTAGTAAACTGAAACACAACTGGGTTTCTTGATGGGAACCATCATTTTCAACATCTACAAATGTTACACCATGATACTGGTGAAATGTTTTCAATCATAGATTGGGTAGTGAAGCAGTTGTTGGCCAGTTTGTTATGCAAAATCTCACCACATGTTACCTGTCTTCAATGTGCCAACTCATCACATGTTGAAATGGGGATCTTTTCATTTCCGTCCTCCTCCTCATCCAGGCACCACGCCCACTAAATGATGGCATCACTAGGTTCTCATCAACCATTGATTCTTGCTGTTCTGGGCAAAACCTGTTACTAATTAACTTTCTCTCTGAGACTTTCCCCTCAGGGTCTCTTTGTAAACATAATCTTTCCTCTGTTTCTGTTGAGACTCCAAAGCCATTCAAAATAATCCTTGTGTGGACTTGTGAAACGGCTGGGATTGACAGTAACCATCACTTTATTTGTGCTCCATCCTTGGCTGCATGTCTGGGATGTTTTCCACCAAAGGCATGCAGTGGGATCTGAATTTTGGCTTCACCAGTCTCAGTAACACCCCGATATGAGTAAATTTCACTGTGCCCTGGACGCTGGCCCTCCTCACACTAGTGCAGTGAAAACATGAGAGCCTGTATTTCTTCATCGTCAACCTAACCAGGATTGTGCATATGTCCAGACCAAACCTCCCCTCCCTTCTGACATCTCATCTTGCAAAATCACCAATTTGGACATCAGATATGTTTGTAGAACACAAACATTAATAAAATAGAAAATAGACATTCATAATATATTACCAAGGGAGAAGACGGGAGAGAATGTGAAACTTCCCAGTCACTTCTCACCCATGTGATTCCTGACAACATCATGTGCACTGACGGGGTGGGAGGTGGGCATGAGATACAGCACGGGAAAACTCTATCTATAAAATTACACGTTCGTCCCTCCAACTTACTGTCTCTCCAGTAGACCTTGCCCACTTCTATAGTCCCTGATAGCACCATCATCAACCTCCCTCTACTCATTTCTGTGTTTCAGTGCCCAGCAGTCAGGAGTGATCCTACTTTGTACACCAGAAACTTTAAATGGACTCAACAGGTAAACACAGTCCTGTTGCACACAATGAACATGGTCCTTCCTTGTGGAAATTTTTTTAAATTTCTGGAAAACTCAGCTTCAAAGGAACCTTGGCTGAGAAATGCTAGATCAAAAACTGCTAACAGCAAGGTGTGAAGGTTTGAATCTTCAAGATACTACTTGTATAAAAATCTATATAGCTTTAATAGACATTCCTGTGCAACTGGGAAAATGTGGCTACTGACTACGCAGAGGACTGTTGTTAAAATTCTCACAAATTATAACAGGGTTGGGCTTAGTGTATTTATATATCTGTGGACACAAAGGAAGAGAGAGAGAGAGCAGCAATAGGGTCCAATGTATGCAGTGAAGTGTCTAGGGAGAGAATATATGACTTCGCTAAACTTTTCATTAGAATTGCCTATATTCACAAATATATGAAAATTAAAATTGTTGGACTATTGGAGAAAAGGAGAGATTGAGTGGAAATACGCTCCAGTGAGTCTGGTGTTTGTGGTCTGGTGTAAGACATAACTGCGGGCAGACTACCCCAGCCATGCAGGGAGCCCCCTCATGCCAGCAGCCATGTCAAATGTAGAGGAGGAGCAGGGCTGGACCTTGGCATGGAGGGTTTCCTGGTTAGCTCCAAGGTAATTAGTTCAGAGCCCCACAATCAAATACAAACCCAACATGGACCCAAGTTCAACCCCTATAGGGTCAGACCTACATGGTGCAGGTGATGGGACTTCTAGGACAGTAGGAGGATAGTTGGGCCAGGAGAAAGGCCACAGGTGGGACCCAAGGTGATGTCTGAACTTCCTCCGCATTTTCTTTCAAACTCAGGATAGAATGGACCCTGGGGCCAGCATAGGCTGGAACAGCCCATTATGACATGCGAGTCTCCTCACGCAGGAAACCAGTTGAGACCCAGTCCCTGGGCCCTCCTCCAGGCTGCTTTTATCCAAGGAAAAGTGGGACTCCAGAAGGAATGTGCCATCTGACACAGTTCTCCTCTCCTCTGGGACACATAATTACATCTGGAGCCCATATGATGTATCATTGCTCTCTGCATTTTTCTTATCCACTCCAATCCGGACAACAGTCTCCACAGCTCAGACAAGCACCACACTCAATTCTTAATCAGGGTGAAGAGACCCTGAGAGAACAGACAACTTGCTCAGAGTTTCTTAGCCCTGCAGTGTCCGGGCCAGGACCAGGAAGGATGAGTGACCCTAAGTCCTGACCACACTTGCTCAGAGGGAGGGTGAGAGTGAGGGCCAACCTGAGCCAGGCGGGTTCCTGTCCTACTATCCCATCTGTCCTTGTTGTTCTGAGTCATTGCCAGCTGCTCCCACTGCGATGGTAGGTGGCACAGTGATAGTCAGCCTCATCCTTGTCCCAGGCACTGTGGATGGTCAGAGTGGCCATGTTCCCTGAGTTGGAGCCTGAGAATCAGTCAGGGATCCCTGAGGGACACTTGATATGCTCATAAATGACCAGCACAGGGGCTTGGCCTGGCTGGGGCCAGGGACCAAGATGTATATTTATCCCCCAGATTATTCCCAGAGCGGGCTACTGTGGCTGGCTGTCCCAGGACCACCTACACCAAGACTGACTGCTTCAGCTCATAAGATTCCACAGAGCCTTCAGAGAGGAGAGGAGAGAGGGCTTGAGGGTGAAAAGCCCAAACCAGGAGGTCACACCCTGAGGCTGTGTCTTGGTTGACATCAGGGTTTTGTGAGGCTGAGACTGCAGTCACTGCCTGAGGGGGCAGCACCTGTGCAGCGATGAGGAAGGGGAGCAGGAGAGGAGACTAGGACATGGTGAAGGTGCCCCAGAGCTCTACCTTCTGAGACTCCATATCTGGGCTCCTACATGTCCTGTTGTCCCCCAGGGCAGAGCCCTCACAGCTATAGAATCTGATGGGCCCCCCTTGGCCCACTGAGGAAGTTGTTTGAGGTTTTGAGAGGAAGCAGGTCCCAAGCGAAACAGAAGAGAGAAACTCTTCCCTTTAACCCTCACCCTCAGCCCCGTGTACACACTCCTGTTCTTGAGCCTGAGAGACCCTGTCACAACCTCCAGGCCTCCATGGAAGGGCTTGCATGGCTTGTCCTGTGATAATCACCTCTAGCCCAGCCTCCACACTGGCCTTTATCCCTTCTCTGCTCTGCCCACGGTCTACTGAGGAAGGATCTGTTCTTCCTGTGGTTCAGGGAGATCCTGTCCATGGTGCTGAGCCAGGCCCTGTGCTCTAGAAGGTCCACAGAGTGAAAAAGGTGGGGCTGAGATCCTAGGTTCTCAAGACTCTGCTGGACTCCTGCATCTATTTCTAGCTGTAGGGACTCTGAGACCAGGTTGTGATGTCCATGGTGCTGAGAGCAGAGAGCACTGGAGGAGGAGCCCAGGAGCAGATCCAGTCCTGCCTCCAACACTGATGACAATGTAGTGTTATCCATAAGACTTGGAAGGTCACTCTGGGTTGACATTCAAGGAGAAATTATTATATGTCAACACTCTGACTAATTCCCCACATGCATTGTGCCATTTCTCCTTCCCAGGAACTCTGAGCAGCAGTGACTGCTCAGTTCCCCATTGCATGGGTAACACTCTGAGACTGGACATGGGGTGACTCACCCAGTTTCAGAGTCATGAATAGCAAAGCCCCAATTTTCTGCCTGTGTGTTACACGTAGACATTGTATAGACCAATTGACTATTTTCAATTGACTATATTCTGTCATCCAGGATCATTTTCTTTCCCTCTGTGTGACCAGTGATTGCCATAGAAAAGACTCGTAGGATGAGCTCAAAATTGACGATGGAATAAAAGTATCAAAGCAATATATAACATGTAAGTTTCTTTCAAATGGAATTTATGGTTACGATCAAATGCCTTCATTTGCCCCACACAGAGATGTGTACTAGTAAGTTACCTAACTAATTATTTAATGATATCAACACATATGTAGTGACACCCGGGGAAACAACTCTGAATTCTGCATGAGATTTCTGCTCAAGAGAGAGACAAAAAAACAACAAAAAAAGAAAAGAATTATATCACATTGGTAGGTTAAATTCCCAGTGACAAACTGTCTCCAAGAGATCAGTGTACAGTAAGTCTAGATAAACCAGCAAACACACCTCGAGGACAGGATGGGATGAAGAAAACAGGACACTGACCTGCAAGGCCATCACAGCCAGGTCCACAGTAGAATTTACTGGACTCTCCTCAGATCCCACTGAATGGGGTGGTGCCCTGTCTCTATCCCACCTCATGCACAGGTAACTAGATGGTGGTTGCCACCAGGAAGGGGAATATCCTCACTATGCAGGCTCTCTTCAGCTGAAGCAAGTCCTGGAGCTGTGGCTGCTGGCACACCAGCCTCTGGGGAATGCGGACTCCATCCTGCAGGGGAGGGCCCTGGATTCTGGGTTGTCACACAGAACTTCTAGGACAGTGACACACACAATGCTGCTCTTTTTTCTATTATGACTATTAAGGGGCAAAGTCAGCCAGACATACACACACGCACATGCACACACAAACACAACACACACACACACATTTTAGGAAGGAAAAGTTGAGGAAGGGTGCGTGAAAAGTGAGAAAATAGTATAATATACAGATGTGATGGAAGAATTTTTAAAAAAGCGTAATAACGTCCAGAGGTAAATCCTAACATCTCAGGAGTGAGAGAGTGAGAAGAAGAAGGAGCAGGAGAAGGAAGAAGGAAAAAGGAGGGGGAGGAACAGGAGAAGGAATCAAGGAAGGGGAGGGAAGCAGATGCAGGGTGAGCAGGAGGGAAAGCACACCTCCTCCAGCACACTCTCTCTCTTGACACAGCCTTCCTGGCCACCCTGTCACACTCTCCATGACAGCAGCTCCATGCTGCCTTGTGAGCAGGTCCTGAGACCTGTTTCAGTTGCCCCCTGGATTCAATTGTCAGTAGCTGTTCAGGTCCAAGAGATCCCCAAATTAGACAGTGACATAAATGGCTTCTGTACTAGAGGCTCTGCTAAGGCCAGAAGTGACCTAACTACTTTTTTTCCAGCTATATTGCGATAACTGATATCACACAGTTAATTTGGGTGTAAAGTTTACTTCCTGGTCTCAGGATCACCTGGCAACCTGTGACACAATCGCCACTGTTGTGGAACAACCCAGGAGGGGAAAGTTGTCCTTTACACCGATCAAAGTCGCTTTCATATGACAAGAGCTGACAGTGGCCTTGGATGACACCCTGCCCCTGTTATAACCTTGACCATGAGAAACGGTCTCCCCTTGGCCCTTCTAGCTTTCTGATAAGCTTTTTAGAGGCAACCCACTCACTGGTTGGTCACCATCTAAGAACGCAGAAGATAGTCTTTCTTAATCTCCCTTTGGCATTCTACTTTCATCATAATGACTGGAAAGATTCCAAGTGACTACCTTCTTGGGCCCTGTGCATAATCATTCACTCCAACAACTGAGTCTAACTGAGAGAAAGGTATAAATAATATGTGACATATGCTAATAGCTGCAAAAGAGGAATTAAAGGGTCCTGTGAGAGCATTCGGGAAAAACAACATACATAATCTTTATGTCATGGATGACCTCCATGAGGATGGGAATTTTCAGAATGAAGGGTAATTGGGTGTTAAGCAGGTAAGGATCAATACCGCAGGGATGGATGAGGGGCAGGGAGTTTAGATAAACAATGGGATGGTTAAGGGGATTTATGAAGAGGTTCGGGGCAACTATGATGATAACTCATCACTGATTCAGGGCCCCACGGCTGCAGGTTAGTGAGCAAGACTGACCCCTCCAGGATCTGCTTCTTCAGGTAACAGCCAAGTCAGACCAGGATCACCTGTCCCCACACTCCTCTCCCTGGTTATGGGAAGAGAGGGCAGATTTGAAAAGAAGGACAGAGAGGCCCCCATCCCAGGAAGGGGTAGACAGTGGTAGCTAGAGGCAGGAACTCAAGGTGACCACCTGAACTGTCCCATCCTGGCCTCTGAGTCCTCTGGACGTCATCTATACTTGCGTCTCCTGAGCAGATCAAGTGGGATCTGAGCACACAGACCACAGGCAGGGACAGAGCCTTTGGTCTCAAGTGGCCTCAATGAGCTCTTTGTCAAGTGCTGGGAGAGAAGAGGGGCTGTATTTCCTCTGTCTTCAACCTAGAAAGTGATGCATTCCAGAGGAGCTGACTACAAACCAAGGACAAGCAGGGGAGGAGGGCCAGCCCAGGATGATTTTGGTCTTTCTTCGTCATCACTAAGAGGCAGTGAGAAAGACCCTCCACCCGATCCTGCATAGGAACAGCATTAAAAATCAGCCTCATGGCTGAATGGGAACTGAAGGATGCTCAAAGAGGTCATGTTGCCAGAGTTTGAGTCTAAGGTCTGTGAAGTTTGATTCTTGATCAGTGCTCCATCATGTGGGGCTATGTCAGGAACTGTTGGTCCCAGGTGACACCACTATAACCCCCAAAGTCGCTGCTGCTTCAGCACAGGAGATGGTGACCATCTGCCCAGAGGCGCCAGATGCCTAGGGAGGCTGAGTCAGGAGACTGGGGCCCCAAGTCTGATGGGAGGGAGAAATGTGGACAGAGCTGAGTGCAGGGCCAAGACCCCATGAGGCCTAGGAGGGAGGGAGAGCAGGTTCCATGTGCTCCACAGACTGTGCCTTCCGGTGGTGACTCTCACCTGAGCTGCGAGGAGCAGGTGAGCAGGCGTGAAGCCACTCAAAATGTGGTCCTTGGAGGACCAGCAGCACAGGCTCTTTTGGGAGCTGTTAGACATGCAGATTTCTGGCCCCCACCCTGACCTGCTTCAGCTGGATCTGCATCTTGTGGACATCCCCAGGGGAATGTGTGCTCACTGAAGTCTCAGAAGCTAGGGTCTAGGTCACCAGGGAAACTCTCACTTCCTCCTGCTAGTCTCCCTGAGTCCTTCCTGGGTCAACTGGTTCTTGGGGCGTAACTGTCCTGCTCTTGTCAACTGAGCTTGATTCAGGTCTAGCCTGCCAGGATGTGGGGAAATGCTTAGGAAAAGGCTTTTCACAAGTGCATATGTGGCATGTTGGGAGTGATATCCCAGTGGGACATTCAGACATAAACAGGTGGTCCCTGATCTTTCCTTGATCTCACCCAACCCCAGTTGATCAGGACCTTCCTACTTTCTCACACATCTTGCTCTCTTCTGTCTTTTAGATTCTATATGTTTTTCTCTCTGGCTGGAACTCTTCCCATGACCCTGCTCCTCACCAGTACCTGAATCTAGTCATCCTTTCATTCTGTGTCCATAACACATGTGTAGGAAATGGTTTCTGAAATCCAGAATATTTAGAAACATAGACTTACACACATTTAACGTTTATAATTAAATTTTCACATTGGGTGTGGGGTATCCATATTCTTTGCATGGAATAACACCCTGTCCTATCTCTGTACCTCCAATCTCACCTGTTTGATTCAATAACAGGACTAAAGTCACAAGCAGAAGCAATGTCCGCTGCATGAAAAGATCATGACTCTTGAGAAGATCATGACTATTGTCCTTTATTCTATTAATATGGTGCATTCCATTGACTGATTCCCAGGTGTTAAAACACTCTTGCATTCCTGCAACAAGTACCACTTGGTCCTGGCATATATTCTTTTTTTGATGTTGCTGGGTTAGGTTTTTAGTAATTTGTGGAGGATTATTGTGTTTAAATCCATAAGGGTTATTGATCTATATTTTCCCTTCCTTGTGATCTGTTTCTCCGGTTTTGGTATCCGAGTACTTGTGGTCTAATAGAGTGAGGTGGTAAGTGTTCTATCCCTTTCTATCTTTTGGGAGAGCTTGTGAATGATTGGTATTAATTCTTCTTTAAAAATTTCATGGGATTCTCCAATGAGACCATCTTTGTCTGTGTCTTTCTCTGTGAGTTATGATTTTCTGTGTGTGTGTGTGTCTGTGTGAGGAAAATTGGCCCTGAGGTAACATCTGCTGCCAATCTTCCTCTTTTTGCTTGAAGAAGGTTGTTGCTGAGCTAACATCTGTGCCGATCTTCCTCTATTTTATGTGAGATGCTGCCACAGCATGGCCTGATAGTGGTGCCAGGTCTGTGCCCAGGATCTGTACCCACAAACCCAGAGCCACTGAAGCTCAGCACACAAACCCAACCACTACACCACAGGGCCACCCATCTTTGTGGGTAAGCTTTGGTTCCTAATTTAATCTCTCTACTTGGTGCAGATTTCATTATGTTGTCTATTTTTTTCTTCAGACAGTTGTGGGAATTTGCACCTTTCTATGAATTTGTCCTTTTCATTTAATTTTTTGGTGTGCCTTTTTTTGTCCTAATCCCTCACAACCTTAAAGTCCTGTTTCATCTCTGTAACATCAGTAGTAATGGCTCTTCTTTATTCCTCAGTTTTAGTAATTAGTGTTTTTTGCTAATGATCAGCGCACTTTTTTTAATTTTCTCTAACATGTTTCTATTTCGATCCTTTATTTCTACTTTATTGTTTACTTCCTTCTGCCTGCTTTTGTTTCAGTCTTCTCTTCTTTTTACAGTATCATAGGGTGGAATATTACAATATTGATTTGAGATCATTTGTATATTAGACATGTAGCGCTTCTAAAGCAGTGCCAGGAGATCAATGTGCACCTGTGTGTATGTGCATGTCACCACTAACACGTGCAATGTTTTCTCTGCCCTCATGAACACACGGGATATAGTTTATAGAAATTGCTTTTGTATCCTTGTCTATAAATTATATCATTTGATCCATTTTAGGGTCAATTTAGGTTAATTGATTTTTGTACCGATTACTGCTCTTATTTTCCTGATTCTATGTAAGAAATATTTGATTGAATGCTCGATATTGTGAACTTTTCCTTGCTGTGTCCTGCATCCTCGTATTTCTCTTGCTGTCATTTTACTTATTTTTGGATTCAGTAAAGTAACCTGGACAAAGGTCCATCCATTCTCAACTTGCTTGTATAGTGTTTATGTGGCAGCAGAGCAGACTTTGGTTTGTGGCTAATTTTCCCCACAACTGAGGCTAGTTCTCCTGACTAGTCAACCTGATGCCTTACCCAGGAGCTCTCTCCTCAGAGGGGAACAAGCACTACATGACCGTGAGTGTGAGCCCTGCAGAATGTTCCTCCAGTGTCTCTGGTTGTTTCCTCAAGCTCATGCAGTTTCCTCCCACACCTGTCCTCCTAGGAATATGTGCAGAACTCCAGGCTTCTCTCTCTGGAGATCTCTCTTCCTTTATATTCTTCCCTCTGGACTTTTATTTTCTCTTTTGTTCCCTGAAAGCACAATATGTCATGAAGAATTGCATGTCATAACATTTTGAGGTGATCTCTCATGAATAAAGAATGGAGGCAAGACTGCGAAGACCTGCAATGTGATGGCCAATGAGGACTCAGCTGGGATTCCTGCAAGGTCATCTTGAACTGAGGCAGGACCTTGGGCTCTTGGCATCGGGCAGACATGAGATCTGAATCACACAGAGAGGAACATAAACTTGGGGGATGCAATTATTTGCTGATAAAGGTACTTCCCAGTGGGGGCACAGCTGTGAACATCCTGCTTCCAGCACTGTAGGGTGGGTGTGTGAGCCCTGAAGAGGGAATCTAGGCAGACAGGGCAGTGTCCATTAACCTAGTTTTCTTGCTTCAGAGGCCCAGGCTGTAATGGGACTCAGAGGCTTCAGAGAAAGAGCTGGCCTTGGCAGTTCTGGTCACTAACCCAGGAAAGTTCGACTAATATGTAGTCCAGTCATTCCCACTTGGAAATTCAGGCACAATGACTAACGGCCATATATCTTCCTCGCTCTGCCTGTCCACCTAGGCTGTCTGTCCACAATTCACATACTTGTCCAGGAAACAACCTTGTCCTACCAGCCTTAAATCCAGTCCTGATCCATCCTCCAAAGAGCCTGTCTGGAGGGCTGGGAGGAGAGGGCAGCCTGGGCATCTCATATCTGGGACCTGGGCAGGACCTGCTCATGGCTTTGTCTGAAGTCCTCCTGAGGCTGGAGGAGAGTGTGACACAGATGAGAAAGAGGTTTGTGTCTCACTTCCCCATCAGCCTGTATCACTGTGAGTTTCAGAACTAAGAGCATCTACTGCCAGACAGTAATAGTCAGCCTCGTCCTCAGCCTGGGCCCCACTGATGGTCAGTGTGGACGTGTCTCCTGAGCTGGAGCCGGAGAATCGTTCAGGGATCCCTGAGTGGCGCTCATTATTAATATTGATGAGCAGTACAGGGGCCTGGCCTGGCTTCTGCTGGTACCAGCTAGGAGAAAAAAATTCAAAGTTGCTTCCCTGGCAGGTGAGGGTGGCTCTCTGTCCCAAGGCCACGGACACCTCAGATGGCTGAGTCACTGCAGAAGAGACAACAGGACCTGCAAGAGAGGAGAGCAGAGGTGAAGGTAAGGATGAGGGTCTCATTCCCAGAGGGCCCACACCCTGAAGCCTCCCCTCTACAGAGCTGAAGGTCAGGGCCAGGCTGTTCCATAGTCTCTTTAGGGGCTGAGCCCTGGGAAGCATCACCTGTGCAGAGAGAGAGGAAGGCTAACAAGAGAGGGGTCCAGGCCATGGTGGAGATTCCCCAGACTTCTGCCTCTGAGCCTACAGCTGGGGATGTGCCTAAGGGCCTCTCTTATTGTCTAGAAGAAATGCAAATCTACTTCCTCTTTTTTGTGGCCTTCCTGAGTTTCTCTGTCCTGATCAGAAAATGGCTCAGCCTAAAGAGGTTGTGAAAGTGGGTCCTATTCCCAAGGCCTGTCCCTGAGCACACAGAACTCTCTCTTGTGTTGAGTGAGAAAGTAGAGATGCCTACCCCCAGCACATGCTCTCACACCTCAGTCTGTGCCCTGGGCTTCCCCTCTGGGCTTGGGGACAAGCCCTCAGTCCTGCTCTAGTGATGGGTCATCCATGTTTGTGGACTGGGCAGTGGTGAAGTGGGAGCTTGTAGGGACACTGGTCATGCTGTTGTATGAGACGTGAAACATCATGACCAGATACAGAGAAATTGCTTATGTGCCTCTCAGGCAAGTCTTTTTTATGGTTTGGGGAAAAAAATGGCAGAAACCTTTGGTATCTAAGGCTTGTAAGAATTCTTTGATGACACCAGAACCATGAATGGTAAAAGGATGATCAATATGTTGTACCTCATTAAATGTAATATCTTTTGCTTTGTAAGACTTTCTAAAGGATGAAAAAAACAAGTAACAGAGAAAACATATTTGAAAACCCAATGTGCAATGAAGGACTATGGTATAGAGACCATTAAGCACCCTCAAAAGTAAACTGTAAAAATAAAATCCATTCTTAACACAGGCAATTAACAAGCACAAACATTCCACGGAGGAGGACACAGAAATCGCAAAGAGCACAAGAAAGGTCGTTCCTCATTAACCATGAGGGAAATGCACATGAAAACCACAAGCACATCTCCCTACGTACTTATCAGATTGGCTGCAATAAAATTAGTGACAAACCTAATTGTTGGCGAGGATGTGGGGATACTGTATCACTCATGTCCCATGAGGGGAATGTGAAATGCTGCAGCAACCCTGGAAAAGGGTATGAGAGATTCTTTAAAAAAGTGAACTTATGGTTACCATGGAACCCAGCAAATGACTCTTGGGCATTTATTTCAAAATGAAAATATGTTCATAGAGAAACTATGCACAAATGTTCATACACCCTTATGTATACTACCTCAAGGTAAGAACAATCCAGGTGTCCTTCATTGGGTGGATTGGTAAACAGACTTTGGTATACTGGGATCATGGAATAGTACTCAGTGATGAAAAGGAATGAAATCTTAATGCACACAAGGATGTTGATGAATGTACAGTGTCTTATGCAGAGTGAAAAATGCCAATCCCAAAGGCTATGCACAATAGAAATCTATTTTTTATTTCTATTAATCATTCTTGAAAAGACAAAATTTTAGAAATGGAGAATCAGTTAGTGGATGGCAAAGGTTAGGGGCAGTGCAGGGCACGTAGGAGGGAGGAAGTGAATGTTGTTATAAAATGACAACATGAGGGCTCCCTGTGGAGATGGAACCGTTTTGTCTCTTAACTGTGGTGTGGACCTATGAACCTACACAGGGGATAAAATCACATCAATCTACCTACACACACAAACACACACACACGACTGAGTAAAAGTCACCGGGGGAATCTGAATTTGAAAATGGACAAGTATTTGTTCAAAATCTTCACTAAACAAAACACACAGATGACAATAAGCACCTGAAAGATGCTAAAGGTTTCCAGTCACTAAAGAAATGAAAACTGTAAATATGATGGGATATCACTACAGATATATTAAAAAGGTTTAAACAAAAACTGAGAAGCTACTGTTAATGAGAATGCGGAACAAACGGAAGTCTCGTAAACGCTTGGTTATAATGAAAACGCAAAGCCAGCATCGACGTTGGAAAACAATTTGTTCATTTCTGAGAAAGTTCGACATATATCTACCATATGAGCCAGAAATTCCATTCCTATGTATTTATTCAAGTGACATGAAAACTCATGTCCACAAAAAACCCAAAACAAGGTCCTAAAGCTTTTATTTGAAATTACCAGAGTGGAACATGGAAATATGCCAAGTGTCACTTCACTGGGAAATTGAAACACAAACTGTAGTTCATCTGTGCAAGGGAATTCTACTCACAGTGAAAACGGAATGAACTATTAACATGCAAGAATGTAGAAGCATCCCAAATGGATTATGCCTAGTGAAAGAAGCCTGAATGAAACCACTACCAGAATGAAACATAATATTTATATGAAGTTCTTGCAAAGATCGAACTATGGTGACAGACATCAGATCTGGAGTTGTGAGTTGGACATGGCAGGAGAGTGTGACTGCCAAGAGGTCTTGGAATCTGTGGGTAATGATTGAACTGTTACACATCATGGTTGTGGAAGTGCTTACACCTCTGTATGCATTTGTCAAAACTCACACAACTGTTCACTAAAAGTACTGGATCTTGGAAGATGTAAATTATGTAATTTTGTAAATTATGTCATTATGTAAATTATGTAATTATGACATAATAAAAGAAAAAAAGTTGTCGTAGGTGAAGGTTTCCAAGAGCCAACTCTCACATAGACTAGTTTGCAAGAGGTCTAGATGAAACAGAGAACACACCCTGAGGACAGGAAGGAAGCAGATTTGGGCAGATATGGATGTTGAGGTCTGACACAACAGGGCCCACAGTACAAATAATGGGGCTCTGGTGCTGGGGGTGCCCTTCGGATCCCGCTGAATGGCCGGCAGCCCTGCCTCCATCCCACCACACTCACAGGTCACTAGATGTAGCCTGTTACCAAGAACTGGAATGTCCCCACTGTGCCAGGTCTCTTCAGCAGAAGCAAGTCCTGGAGCTGCAGTTGCTGACACCCCAGCCTCTGGGGAATGAGGTCTCCATCCTGCAGGGGAGGGGTCAGAATTCTGGTCCTCACACAGGAGACCCAGGACAGTGACAGGCTAAGTGTCATTAGTTTTGATGTTTAGATTATCAAGGATAAAAGACAGACACACAGGCAAAATGGACAGTAAATGAAAATCAGGAAAGAGTGCATATAAAAGAACCACATAGGATAAAGACTTACTGGAAGAGAACCAGAGAACTATAGAAACTAGAGAACTAGAGAAATTCAGAGAGAGAGACAGAGTCAGAGGCAGAGAGTGGGAGATGCAGGAGGAGTCAGAGGGGAAAGGCCCCTCCTCCAGCACACTCTCACTCCAGCCCACCTGCCTAGCTTGCCCTGTCACACTCAGAGCAACAGCAGCTTCAACATGCCTCCACGTGCAGGTCCTGTGACCTGTGTCAGCTGCTCTCTGGACCTATTTATCAACAGCTTCTCAAGCTTTCGAGATTCCCCTAATGTGACAATGACAATGCATTCTGTCCATTCTTGAGAATCTTCTAAGGCCATAGCAACAGTTATTTTTGACAGAAACTGTTACTCCAGGTCTCAGGATTACCTGGCATCTGTTTGGACAAATACATGGGTATAGCACAACCAAGGAAGGGCCTCTCATCCTTCACAATTTCATTGTCATTTTCACACGACAAGAGCTGACAGTGTCCTCGGAAGAGTTCAGCACCCTGTTGTAACCTTGACCATAAGTAATGGCCTCTCATGGCCACTGGTCCACCTCTGACAAGAATTTGTAGTGGCGGCTCCATCACTGCTTGGTCATCATGTCAGCACAGACTCACCTTTCCATTTGCTGCCACCACTTCTAGTAGTTTGTCCCTCTGTCTGTCCATCAGAGGCTACTGCTGACCTTCTTCAAAGTTGATAGCACTACAAGGCCCAGGTGGGCCTGGATGTGATGTGGTCCACACTGGGGTTTGTATTTATGTCCCCGCAGTCCTCCAGACTCCCTCTCCTACAGTGTAACCAGTGGAGGAATCTCCCCACTGGAGGGCCCCATGGGAGACCTTGTTGGGGACAAAGGCAGTGCAAATCCCTAGTAGAGATCAACCGTTTAGTGGAGTGTAGAGGATGGGAGATGGCCCTGTGACCCTGGTGACTCAGCCAACCAGAGGCTGACACATGTCACTGTAGGACTGAGCCCTGATGTCCATCTCTCGCTATTCCTTCTGCATTCTGTCCACTCCCTCCCACAGAGACCAGCAATCTCCTCTCCTCTGGCATCCTTTAGAGTCATCCAGGCCATAGGCAGCTCCAGGAATCTCCATGTCAGACCTCTGACTGGCTATCCCAGCCTGACCTTCTGGGGTCCAGCCCTAAAATCCCACCTGACCTTGCTCAGGCCAGTTCACAGGGACCAGTGTTACCTCGTCAATATGGTAGTTCCATGTTGACACAAAGATATGATGTGTGTGACAGATGTTTGTTTTTCAGACGCTAGAAAAGCTATGGTGGAAATCCACATATCCAGGACACCAGCCCCCTCCCAAATGCACTTGAGGTGGATCACCCACAGGACTGAGACTCAGGGAGTCAACATATTGTCCACCTTAGTGTCTCGTGTCCCTCACATCCTGCCACTATCCCTGTGGACATGGTCCCCACTATGTCCCTGGAAGAGTCCTGTGGGCAAAACATCTAGCCCTTCTTGGCACCCCAAGCTGACAATCTGCCACAGCTGGAAAAGCTCAAGTCACCTTCCATGTAGGTCCTGCCATAGACCTCCTAACATACAAGGTACTTCCCTACTGGTCCCCAGCTCAGCACCCACCATGGGGTTGATGTCTCTCTGTCCTGCCTCCCATGAGGGCAAAGTGCAACTGTCAGAGCCCTGAACCCTGACAGAAGTCCTGCTATACACCATGGTGCACCTGGAGTCAAGACGTGACAGCTGCAGGTGACTTCCATGGTCACCCCTGGACCCCTGAGATCCATGTCTTTTCCCGAAGCAGAGTCTTATGCTGGGAGCACAGAGGTTGTGGGGGATGGGAATTGGTCACCCAACATATGTCTCTTAGGCATGAGGATTATTTGGGGCTGGTTACTTTTAATAAACTGCAGACAGGAAAGGAACTCTGAAAAGCAGAGTTTACTTTCCCTTTGTTAAGAAACATTTACATTGTAAAGGAAATCTCCAACTGTAAAGGTGTCTCCCTCTCTGTACCAGGAAGGAGGGAAGACCTTAACTCTAGAAACTCTTAATCAATGCCAAAGGCAAGGACTTAAATCTGCATCTTTTTATTGTACTTGTCTGGTAACCTCCTGTAACTGACTCCTTCCACCCCCAAAATCCTCCTTTGTCTTTAGCTGAAGATGATATCTAAGGTGCTGGCTTTGGCCATTTTGGCGAGTTGCTCTGCCTGCCTGAGCCTCTCCCACGTATACATGTTATGAAGCTTTGTTTAATTTTCTCCTGTTATTCTGTCTCATGGCAATTTAATTTGTTCTCCCGTCCAAAGAACCCACAGCAGGTAGAGGAAATGTCTTCCTCCCCAACAAGGCCAAGGGTTGTTTTTAGATGCAGTCATCTCAGTCTAGCCACTCAGAGACATTTTCCTGCCTGGGCTGGTCTAGTCTCTCTCAGCATTGTTCCCACAGGCATCTGCTGGAGGAAACAGATGTACAGTTGACAATAACCTAAATTTTGACCTGCATCGGTCCCTTCTTAGTGTTTTCATGGAGAGGAGGTACATGATGATAGGGTTTGCAAGGAGAAGAATCAAATGTCTCAGGGTCCTGTAGAGGGACAAGGAGCAGCTCACCCTGAGTCCCCAGGGGAAGAAGGGACAGGGAGAAAGGAGGTTTCAGCTTCTCTTCTCTTTCGTCTAAGCCACTGTTTCTTACTCATTCTGTCCATCAATTGTATGACTCTCACCAGAGTGATACTCAACTTCGTCTTTAAACTGGATTTTGGAGATGGTTAAGTAGCAGTCAGCCCCAGAGCTGGAGCCTGAGAACCAATCAGGGATCTTGTCCCCCTCGCTGTGGTTTTTATCACTGATAACCAGCATCACGTACCCAGGGGCCTTCGCTGGTCTCTGTAGATACAGTGAATGGAGTAGGTGCTGTGCTCACTGCACTGGGTGCAGGTGAGCTTGGCTGAGGCTCCCAGGGAGGTAGATGCAGATGGTGGCGGGGTCAGCACAGGAAGAGCACAGAGACCTGGAAACCAAGAATAACAGAATGATGCTCAATGCACCAAGAGTTGACAGATGTCCCTGGGGCCTGCGCTTGGAGGGAAATGTCAGAGAGGGAGACACCTAAGTGCCCTGGGATGCTCAGACTTGTGGAGAAAATGAGGGGCAGGTGGTAGAAGGGAACCAGTCCCTGGCGAAGGGGTCTTACGGGAGCTCTGCCCTGAGGCTGCCCAGGATGACTGGCTTCTCCCAGCTCTACATTTAGCCTCTCTTCTTGCAGTTCAAGAGGGAGGAACATTGAATGCATATCTCTTCCCCATTCCCTCTGTCTGAGCTCTTGTCTGAGCCCTGAGCCTAAGGACTTCCTGCTGGTAATTTACTGAGGTCAGAAAAAGTGCCAGGTGTGGGTTTCATAGTGGGGAGTTGATTCTACACAATACAAGTGTCTGCAAAGGAAGCATCAGTTACGCCCTTTGCACTTGAGCACAGCCAGGGGACCTGGATGGAGTAGGTGCCACAAACAAAGACCCACAGTGCCCCCTGCTGCTGCCAGGATGATGTCTTCTTATATGCATTGATACTTCAATACTTCTGAGCCCTCAATAGATGCCAGACCTTTGGTGAGTTCTTACCTGCACCCTCCCAACCAGACATCACAATAACCAACCAGCAGCCCTCTGCTGAAGGTCAAACTTCCCTCCAGTCTGATGAGGAGGGAGCCATCACTGTAAAGTTAAATGATTTCCCCACAGTCCACCAGACAGTGATGAGTGAGTCAAGATTCCAATCCAGGGGGCTGACCTCAGACCCTGACTTGTCAGACCTTCATTCCCTGCCAATAACCATGCCCATATCGTTCTCCTCTTCATCCCAACCCTCCTGGGCCCTCCTGTCACCACCATCTCTTCTGTATTCAGGACCTCCCGGCTCCCTCAGTCTGCCTGAAGAGCCCTCAGATCTTCATGGTGTTGAAATCTGTGTTTCCCAGTGAAACATCATCTGTCTGTGGACCAATGTGGGGACACTCCCTCTGCTCCCTCCATGACACGCAACACCGGAGGACATGTCAGCAGGACCTTGGGGACTTCAGATGCCTCATTGGGCTACTCCTGTCAGGTTCTTCCCCTGGCAAGTTAGGATGAGGATCCTTTTCTAACATGGTCAAATCTCTTGAGTTTGGACTTCTCTCAGAGTAGGAACAGAATCCCTTAAAATTTATAAACATGATTTGTAAGATGCATATTTTACCTTCTATCATGAACAAACGTGTTTGTTTTCAAACCTCACACTGCTGAGGATGTGATAATGCTAATTCCCTTGCAAAATGCTAGAGATGTTGTTCATGGAAATAACGGGTGAAGCACTGTGCTGATACCTGAGCACAGACAGCAGACCCCATGTGCTCACTCATCAGAATTTGGTCTGAAGAGATCATCGAAGATGAGATGAGGGCCACATGCGTCAGACACATGCGCTATTGTTCCCACTGAGCGCTTTACACACAGCTCCTCTCCACCCTCCCAGCTGGATGCCTCCACTCCTCCTGCTTCACACCTCAGAGTCTCCCCCATGGGTCCCTGATGGCCACTCCTGCAGGCAGGTTCTGACACCTTTGCTTCTGGGTCACATTCCACCATGGGAGGGAACTTGCTAGTACCATCCTGGGAGAATTGACCTTCATAAAAATGATCTGTGCTTGTGAATTAAGCAAATGTATCTGTTTAAGGAGAATACCACGAAGAGTTATCCAGGCTCAATAAAGTATTCTTTAAAATCATCCTTCCTTTCTAGGTCTCTGCACAAATATAGCTTCAGGACTTGTTGTGAGGTTTGTGGAAATGATCTTCTGACTGACAGT